TATCTATCTATCTATCTATCTACCTATCATCTATCTATCTATTATCTATCTATCATCCATCATCTCTCTCTCTATCTCTCAGTATCAGTCTCTAGCTCTATTTCTTATGTTCTCTCTCATCTCACAGTCTCTGTCTGTCACATTCTCTCTCTCTCTCTCTTTTTCTCTTCCACTCAGTAAATGTTTATCAAATACCTCTTGTGTTTAGGCATCAAGACAGGGGTCTGACCTTCGAGGAGCGAGTGGCACACAGGACCTCGCCCTGCCCTCCCATCTCTCTAAATTTTTTTTCCCGGGGAACCGAGTCCAAGGTAGAATTAGCAGCGATGGAAAAGGCCACCGTCACCGCTCCCTGGCTCCTGCCACGGTGCCCTTGCACAGGCATCTGAGTAGCTCGTCCATGGGTTTGTGACAACGGATGCTGCTGGGAACCTTCCCCCCCAATTATGTGACATATAATATTATATTAGTTTCAGGTGCACCACAAAGTAATTAGACATTTATATAACTTACAAAGCGTTCACCCCGATAAGCGCTGTACTCATTCGGCAGCATACACAGTTATCATAATAGCATTGACGATATTCCCTACTATTTTTACATCCCCAGGATTGTTTTTATAACTGGTGATTTGCACTATTTAATTCCTCCACCGTTTTTCCCCAGCCCTCAATGTATGATGAGAATGCTCTTCTTGGAGCAGAACCTCTATCTGAATTCTTAAAGGCAGTTAAAAGGATTTTTTTCCCGGAGTCTTTTATTTCTTGAAAATAACCAGCTTCAAATAATTGATACCCCCAAAGGCATATCTTGGGGTGGCAAATCAGGCGAGATCACCTGCAGAGCAGGTGTGTGTGTCACTGATGAGGGTTGGACTGACGATGGGCTGGTGAAGCATGGATGTCTATGCCTCGCTCTCTCTCCGCCCCTCCCCCCCAACCCCCGCTTTGTCTGTCTAGTGCCTGTCTGGGTCTCTGGCTTGCCTCCATCTCTCTGCCTGCATCCGCCTCCTGGTGACACACGGACCCCTGCCCCTGCCCCGCTCCTGGGACCGGCAGTTCTGACCATGGAGGCCAGGGGAGGGGCAGAGTGCAGCGTGGGCTTAGGTCTCACAGCCGCCCAGATGTGACTAAGATCCGTATGATGGGAGGAGGAGGAGGAGGGCTTGGGCCAGGGCTGGGGGACAGCAGGGAGAAGGAAATGGACATGGCGTTCCTTGGTTCCTGCTCTGTGACTTCTCCTATGTCCCGTCCTGCCCAAAGTCAGTCAGAGGTGCCCTAGTCATTTGAGGATGGGTCCAGGACAGAGCTGCGGGGTGGTCACACTGTGGACATGCTTCCACTGTGGCAGGTGAGAATGGCTTGGAGGTTGACCCCAGGACTAGGACTCCATAGGTCAGAACCCAGGCTGGGGTGGGGGATGGAGAGAAGCAGAGACACAGAGAGACAGAGACACAGAGAGACAGAGACACAGAGACACAGAGGGGATGGAGACGGGAAGACTGGGAGGAAGAAGGGTTAAAATGGTCAATAGAGGCAGGAGAGAGAGAGCTACAATGGGACAGAGGGATAGACCAGGACGCAGAGGGGGACAAGGAGACGGAGACACAGGATGAAGACTGGTGGAGACACGGGCACAGACAGAGGCAGAGACGGAATGACACCCAATGACGCCATAAAGAGAGATGACCAAGCACCCCGGAAGTGATGTTACAAATAGAGACAAAAAAAAAAGTTTTAATTTCCCCCAGTTGACCCAACCCCAGTGCCCAGGTGTCCCTCCTTCTCATGAAACTGAAAACAGAAAGCCGAAATAAGAGGCAGCAAGCGTTTATCTGAGATCACAGAATTGCCATCCAGGGGCTCAGATTCCGGCAGAAACCCAGATCGTGTCCCGATTGCGGGGTGAAGGCGAGAGGTTCTTATGACAGGAAAAAAAAAAAGAGAGAGAATTAATTATGTGAACGGAAGAAGGACGAAGGTCACCTCCAGAGGTGCCAGCCTGTGGCTCTACGTGGCTGGTTACTGATTCTAAACAGCATCCATAACCATCGGCCCCTGCGGCCCCTGCTCTCCCGGCAGATTTACACAGCGTTGTTTGTAAGGCGACGTCGGCTTGGCCCAGCCCAAGGCTTATTTTTGCCCCGTTCGAATATTCCGAAGTTTGAGGAGTGAAAAGACACGCAAGGCCCTTCCTCTGGCTTTGGCTCTGTTTGACGACAGTCCGTGAAAGGGACATGTTTTCCGCCCCCTCTGGCTGTGGAGAAAAATGCCTCGCATTCCCCTTGGGTCTCGGTCCCGTAGACAGCTCCCGAGCCAAGTGCAGACCGCAGACGCATCCGGCCTGCTTCCCGGAGTCTGGGCGTTTGTAAAACAGTCGTGGTGGGAATGCTGGACATGAGCTCTGCCCGCTTGACCTGCCCTCTGCTACGCAAGGCCGTGTTGCCAACCGCAGGCCCTGTGCTGCGCAGCG